TATTTTAGATCAGCAAGAAAAAATTTATGTTTTTTCTTGGAATAATTCTTCTCAATTTGATGAAAATTGTCAAACTTTAATCGATTTATATGCTTCATCTCGAATAGAATTATTTCGAAAAACAATTAAAACATTTAATGATAATTTTACCGAAGGAAATTTTTTATCAAATATAATAGAAATAACTAAACATTTAACATATTTGTTTCGATTAGATACAACAAAACAGTTGATCGATTTAAATATAACGACTCAAATTAAAGCGAATATAGATTTTTTAAAAGAATATTATTCGATTATTGAAGATGCGATGTTTCCTAGTAAAGATGATCAACAAATTCTTTCAGATTTTATTTTAGCATTGAATTGTTTTCTTGAAGAGAATATTGAAAAGATTATAGTACAAGATAATGATACAAAAGAAAGTTTGATTTTATTAAAAGAAGAAATAGAAAAATTAAAAATTTGTCTAAAAAATAAAATTTATAAGGGATTTAATTATCTTTTTGTCGAAAAAGAATATGAAGAATTTATTCAAAAGAGACAAGAAAATCCAATTCTTATTTCTATGAAGTGGATTTTACCAATGCTTAAGCATATTTTTTATTTAATGAAGCTATTTCAGGATCCGAATAAATCGACATTTCTCAAACAATTTAAAGAAAAATTCTCCGATGTAAGTCAGTTCAGTAGAAATAGTTTGACAAATATTGAAAAATTTTTAAATTCAAAAAAAGAAAAATTACTCAAAGTTGAATGGAATGATTCTTCAGCTGAGAAAATTAAATTAACAGAAATTCACAAGAGTATCCATATGGAATATGAATTCTTAGAAATAAATCTTAAAAATTTAATTATTCTGAAAATGAAATTAACCGAACATTTCGATGAATTAGAACGTGAACAGATCAAAAATCTATTTAATATACTCACTAAAATTATCAAGATAATGATCATCTGAGTGATTTAAAATTCTTATTGACTAATCTCTATATAAAAAAATTGAATATTGAAATTAAAAATAAGTTTCAAACAAACGAAAATAGAATAATTGATGAATTAGTTGATTATGCTCAAAGTTTATATAATAAATTATCTCAATCATTTAATAATAGAAAAGCTTATAAACATTTATTGACATATTTCGATGAAGTTTATAAGCATATAGAAGTTCGAGAAATTCTAGATAATACAGTATATCAGATTATTGCCAATAATAATAATCTAGAAGAAATAAACGAAACTAATCTTTCTGATATTTTAGATAGTTTACCATTAGATTATTTATATAAAAACAAAGATTTATTTAGAAAACTACTCGATAAGATAGAAAACTTTAATAATAAACAATATCTAATAAATCTTGTCCGATATTGTTGCTTATTTTGTTCGTTAAATGAAAATGAAAACGAAACTTTAGTTCGGTTTGATTTAAATAATAAAGATAAAATTGACAGAATTGTAAAATGTTTAAAAGAAATTCGTGACAATATGTTAGATATTCGTTTAAGTGATGAACAATCGGATACAATTAAAAATAATAAAGAAATTCTTGTATTGCATGAAGGAGAAATTTCAATAGACTCGAATCAAAATCGAATTATTAAATATATCAAAGATAATTCATCTACAGTTGGCACTATGAGCGATCGAAATGCTACTGAAGAACTGGAAACATTAATGCAATCATTCAGTAGTTATCAAGAAAAACAACAGATTCAATGAATTTTATCATTCATTTATCACGACGTTGAAAAAGATAATAAAATACAAAGATTAATCAACATATTTCTAAAACCTGTTCTATCATGGTTAGAAGAGTTCAATGCACTGAAAATTGAACTAGTAAAAACTGAAATGATTAAACAAATTTCAACTAATGAAGAAATTCGACATAAATTTCACGATGCTATTAAACTATCTCAGTTTCTTGCTGAAGATCATTTAGATGATTGGTTTGAAATAATGAGAGAAATTAGTAAAGCCAGTCTAAATCAGTTTTCATTAGAAAATCTCATAAAAATCATTTCTTTACTTTCTGATTTTCAAGATTTGTCAATCGTTAAACAAATAATTACAAAAAAGACAAGTAATTCATGGTTATTTAATCTTTTATTTGCACGTATTGAATCTAATTTAAGAATAATGTTAAGAGAAAATCTTGATGACGAATTAACATATAAATTAATTCATTTAAAATGGAATTTACGATTTTACATGGATCCCCAATGTCTATTCTTAGATATATTCGGTCAATTACTTTTAGAATATCAAAATCAAGAATCAAAATTATTAGAAAATAATTTCAATCGATTTTTAATTGAATTCATTAATTTAGTCATAGAAAGTCGAGTTGATTTAGATGAAAAATTATTAAATAAATTGTCTTTAAAAGCATTAACTTTATGGAAATTACCACTTGAGAAAAAAATTCTTTCCAAAAAACTCGATAAATTTAATTTTTTTAAAAATGCTATGGAAATACATCAATCTACTACAATTGATTATTTATATAAAATTCGTGAAGAAAAAGGAGATGAAATTTTAACAAATTTATTAAAGCTTATAGAAAATATTCAAGTTGAGATTTCTATTCTAAATGAATTATTAGAAGAGTTAGCTTTTGGTGGTTTTACTTTAGACAAAGGTAGTTTAGAACAGCTAAAAAATCAACCGTTTAAGCAATGGAAAAACCTTTTAAAAGATTATACTGAAAGACCATTGTATGAATTAAATGTAGAACAATTAATTAAAATAATGAAGGAAAAAGAGGGTGAAGGAAAAATAAATGAGTCTATTAAACATTTATTAGAAAATCAATTCGTTAAAACAAAAATAAGTCAATTATTAGAGAAAATTTATTCATTATATAATGGTGAATGGATTAAAGAGACAAAAGATGATATTCGACAATGGGCGGATGAATTAAGAAAAAGAAAACGTTCTAGTAAAGAATATTTTGATTGGAATAAAAATTATCTTCCTGAAATGATAGCTATTATCATTCGAGCAGTAGAATTATATCATGGATATCATCCTAGAACTATTCAATTAGTCGCTTTAGCTATACTTTTAGAATCAAATAGTTCGAAAAAAGGTCGATTAGGTAATATATCTACTGGTGAAGGTAAATCATTGATTACCGCTATGTTAGCAATTTCACACGCATTAATCGGTAATAAAGTTGATATTGTTACGAGTTCAAAAATTTTAGCTATACGAGATGCTAGTGATGATACCGAAGAAGGTTATAAAAAATTCTTTGATTTATTTGGTTTAAATGTTAGTAATAATTGTGATGATGCTTGTGATAATTCGAAGACAGGACAAGCAGAAAGAAAAGAACGATATCAAAAAAATGAGATTATTTATGGTGAAACAGGTTATTTTCAAAGAGATATTTTGCTTACAAAATTTTTTGATAAGGATATAAGACATCGAATAGGAGATATTTTAATTGTTGACGAAGTTGATAATATGTTCATTGATAATGCGGAAAAAATTTTGTATATTTCTCATACTATTACTGATATGCGACATTTACGAGATTTATTTATTCACATTTGGATATCAGTTAATAATCGAATCGAACAATCTTATAGTGAAGAAAATGTGAAGAAAACTCATAATTATATTCAACTAATGATTGAAAATAAAGATTTGAAAATTCCAAGTACTCTAATCAAATTTGTTAATAGAAATTTAAAAACTTGGATATTAAATGCCTATTCTGCGAAATATATTGAAAATAATGATAATTATATAATAGGTGATATTGAATCAAATAAACATGGAGAAATTTTAATTATGGATAAAGATACAGGCATTGAACAGATGAATACACGTTGGAGTAATGGATTACATCAATTTTTACAGTTAAAACATTGTGGAAAATTAACTGATGAAAGTTTAAAAGCAGTTTTCATGTCAAATATGAACTTTTTTAAGCTCTATGAGAATTTAAATGGAATGAGTGGGACTATAGGCGATCAAGAAGAAAGAAAATTATTAAGTCTTGAATATGGAACTGATTGTTTTGAATTGCCACGTTTTCGAAAATATCGATTTCAGTACGAAAAGAGCAAAGAATTTGTTGGGAGAAGTGAATCTGAATGGTGTGAACAGATTATAAAAGATATAAAAGAAAAAATGAATGCGACGCGTCAAATTAATCAAAATGAGAAAGATGAAATAGAAAAGATTAAACAAGAATCGCAAACCTTATTAGGTACTGTAACTAGCGCTTTAAAAAAACTAAGCGAAGAACTAAATAAGGAACAAGAGGAACATAATCAAATTTCCGAAAAAATAAATAAGTCTGAAGAAGAGAAGAAAAGTTTGACAGAATAAATTCAGAAACTACTGGCAGATGGTAATGTAAAAGAACCGAAAAATAAATATGCAGATCTCGGAAAATATGAAACAGAAATAAATTTAAATAGAAAGAGTATTGATAAAATCGATAAAAATGTAAGTTGTTTAAAAGAAGATATTGCCTTTCAACAAACACGACAGGCAAAATTAGAAAGAGATATTCGAGACTATGGACAAATATTATCAGCAGGTGATGAGAACGATAAACGAGCTGTTCTTATTATCTGCAAAAATATTGCCGATTTAGAAAAGATCGCTGCAAAAGTTCGACAAGAATTCTCATCAAACAAGAATATCTATACCTATGATAGAGCTTACAGAAAATTCGAAAAAAATGTATTAAATCCAGGAGATATTATAATAGCAACAAATATTGCTGGAAGAGGGACTGATTTAACTATTGATAAGTTACTTGAAGCTAATGGAGGATTACACGTTATTTTATCTTATATCCCAGGAAATTTACGTGTTCAACAACAGGCTTTTGGTAGAACAGCTAGAGGTGGAAACCGAGGTACAGGAGTTTATGTTGTACATGATTCACGTAAGATGATGCTTATGCCAGATATGACAGTTGATTTTCTTCTTAATGAACGAGATGAAAAAGAAAAAGAACGTTTAGACGAAATTGTGAGAAAATCTTTTCCAAAAATAAAAATAGAAAATATTTTATTTGAAAAATTTAATCTATTTAAAGAAGAAATCAAATCCAAAATAGAAGAAAGTTTTTCGAAATCAAAAACAAAAAATATAGCATTTCGAAACTTAGATTTTTCATATGAACAAGTTAAATCTCTAGTAAACCGAACTTTTCTTCTAAACAGTAGCGAATCTGATTTCAGTACAAAGTATTTAGCATTACAATTGAATAGTTTACAAAATCATTGAGCTTTTTGGTTAAATGAAATGGATGAAAAATTGACTAAAGTACACGAAACTGGACCAGAAGTGATTTTCAAAAATATTAATGAATTTAGAGATAGAATTTTAAAAGAACTCGATTCGAATACTTATGGTTTAATAACTGATCCGGGCGAGTTAATCAAATTAAGTCAATTATTTATGGGTAATAAAAAATACATCGAAGCACGAGATTGTTATAGTCAAATTATTGAGAAACATCCAGATTTTTCTGATATTGCTCATTATTATAAAGCATTTTGTATCATTCATTTAGGCGGTGGGGATAGAGGAGAAATAATCAAAGCAAAATTACACCTAAAAAAAGCGCTTAGTTTATTAGAATCGAAACGAAGTACTATTATGTCACGTATTCAAATCCTACTCTCTTTAAATCATATAACACAACAAAAGGGTCAAGGATTGAATGTTAATTATTTTAAGAAACAGAATGAAGGTGAAGCACAAATATTATCATATCATATTAATGCGATTTTAGAAGCGATTGGTAGTGAAATTAGTTCGGAAAACTTTCGTAGTGGATCAATAACAGGAGACATTCCTACTGAAATCTATAAAGAAATATTGAAAGATGATTTAGATCTTATAAAAGATACTCGAATTAGTAAAAAAATTATTATTGGATCACAAGTTTTAAAGACATCCGAAGATGAGAACATCAGACCACTTTTACTAAACAAAGGCAAATTGTTAATTTATGAAGATTTTCAAAAATTAGGTTTTGATGAAAGTCAGTATAGAAACTTGAGAAACGAACTTCAAAAAAAAGGAATTTTATCTACTCTTGAGTTATATAAAAAGGTTGATCATATGCAAGATGCGCCACAATGTATAACATTTCCTAATGTATTCAAATATTGCCAGGAGAAAATATTAAATGATTTGGAATCAGTTTTAATTCAGTCTCAACAACAGAACTGGAGTTATAAGAAAAGAATTATTAAAGAAAATTTCTTTGAAACTAAAGTTTTTCATAAAGACACGTTTTTGAGTGCCACTCATGATATTATTAAACAAAGAGAAATGATTAGAATACTTAACTCTATTAGCGATGATTTAGTTGGCAAGTTAGATGATCCTGTATTTTGCGCCCTTGGTAGTGAGATAAAAAATTTATTACTAGGTAAGAAATTAATTTCATTCAGTGTTGGAGATAGAATTAGTCGGGATACATTTCTTACAAAACTATGTCAAAAATTAAATATAAGCGAAATGGAATGTCAACCGGTCAAGTTTCTATTGAGTGGAATATTTGAAGAAACCATTGAAATCGTTATTTATGTCTCCGAGACTTTAAAACAAAATATAACAGAAAAATTAAAAACTACAAATTTTAATGAAAGAGCAGAAGAGATTCAGAGAGCAATACAAGAATTGTTATGTGGTAATGATCAGTATCCATTAACTCCAGGAGATATTATTCAGAAAACTACTTTGATTAAAATATTAAAGACATTTAGACCTGATCCATCGATATCCGAAGAGCAAATAATGAATATATTAAAATATTTAGAATTTAATGAGACTCTTCGAATAAATGAAAATTTAAATGCCAAATTTGATGATAATACGAATGTTCAAGTTTTTTGTGACAATAAAACCAAAGTTAAGGAATTTTTCTTAGGAAATAAATCTTACACTCTGGCATCGGGAGAAGAAGTGTGTATAGGATCAGGCAAAAATAAAGTTTCAAAGAGTCAGTTGACTAAAGTTATGAAAAAAATTGGAATAACAGACGAGAAGAAAATTGATGATATTTTTAAGCATCTAGCTCTTGAGTTTGATTCTGTAAAATTCATCAATTCGTATACTGAATTTTATCTTCAAAATAGCGATATCAAACAAATTGAAAAATATGTATCTAAAATACAGAAAAGTGATTGTACAGATGAAAGTAAAGAAGAAATAAAAACGAAAATAGATATGTTAAATTTTATTCAAATTGGCTCACTAAATAATAAAAGTAAGCACATTAAAAAAACTTTGTTGAAAGCAATTGAATGTAATGAGTTTGACTTAACTGCAATAGATTTTTGTCTTAATCAAGAAGAATTTGAACTGCTTAGAGGAGTTCTACAAGACAATGGTATTATAAAACCAATGCTTTATAAATTACTTTCTGAGTCTCACAATAAAAGTTCTTGCGATATTGATGAATCATTCTTTTCAAATTTGGAAAATATTTTCGTTCTATTGTATTACAATGACGGACGAATTTCAGAAGAAAATCTATCATTACGTACGGCAAAGGAAGTCAGCCAAGAACTTTTTTATCGTTTGAGAGAATCTACTGTAATCAAAGACGCTAAAGTCCATTTTAAATTCACCTATGACCCTGAAAAAAGAATCGAAAATATTCGAAAACGAGTTGAAGATGTCGTTATGAAAGTATTTAATTTAAAACGGGAGGATAATTTAGCTTATGATATTACCGATTGGACAGGTTTCGGCGATTTTGTGACATCAAATAACAAAGAACTTGATGAATATATTGATAGTATCACTAACACTTTGAAACAATGTGCAGGAGTACTTCGAACTCTGCCGAAAGTTAAGATTAGTGAGAAAAATCTTAAAACAATGTTTCAAACAGGACAGATACCACCAGAAGCTATGGACTATATTTCGATGTGTTTTGATTCAGTTTTGTCCTTGGAGGAAAAGAAGAGTATTTGGGACTGGAATGCATTTTGTTGTGCAATGATAGGAATAGCACAAATTGCAGCAGGTATTGCTTTAGACATATGTACATTTGGTGCTGCACATTATTTTGCTCAAGGTCTGATTGCAGAAGGCATTGGAGATATTGTTTTTGCCATTCAATCTGTTATTCAGGGAAACTTTAGTTGGAAAGCTTATTCCCAACATAAGGTTCAAAGTGTAATAATTTCCTTATTGACTGCAGGGGTTGGGAGCTATTTAAGTAAAGGTACACAAACAGGAGTGACGGGTGTGGGTTTAGCAACAAAGACAGCGATGGCAAAAACAATAGCGAAAGAAACTTTGACTCATTTAACTATTAGTGTTGCATCAGCCATAGTCAATATTACCACGGATGAGTCGAGTCAATTCATAATGAACGAAATACTTGATAAGCATCTGGCGAAAGTTTTGGATGAATGGATTGCAAATGATGCAATCTATAAAGCAAAAAAAATGATATTAGATGAACGATTTCGAAGTATTTATGAAAAATTTGGTGCAGAGGACGCGAAGAATATTATTAACAAGAGTATTTATGCAACTTTATTGGATTTACAACATGGAGATCTTGCAGGCATGATATTTAATAGAGTCATGCAAATAGCTCATGGGATCTCTGGAGCGTTTTCAAGTACAGCACGGATAGTTCAGAAAAACAAGAGTAAAGCAGCACTATTTAGTTCAATTGCAAAAATAATTGATAAAACCGTAACTAGCGTTAGGATTTTCAAGACCTTTATAGAATTGTGCACTATGTGTCATCGCTTTTGCGAAATTCTGGATAAAAAATTATTGGAGAGTTCCAATAGTAAAAAAGCAAAATCAAGTATTGAAAATATAAAAGAAGAAAATGCGAATATTTCGATATCAGCTAATATTTCTGAGCATATTAAATCTATGGAAGATCAGATGAAAGCAGCTATTAGAGAAAAAGTAAAAAATGACTTTTAAAACCGGGTATACAATTTACGTTAAATCATGCTATGAAGCCGATACAAGAATTAATTACGTCTCCTTTTGTTGTTGCAAGAGAAGAACTGGAAGAACATATAAATAGAAGAGCTGATGAGTTTATAGTTTTAATCGAAGAGAAGGGACACGAATCCTTAAAGAAACTAAATTCCGGAAAGATTCGCGCTTTAGAACAACTAGGACTCTTAATTGATGCAAAACATTTAAGCTCCGAAGATTTAAATAGAACTGTTTGTAATTTAAATGGCCAGTCTATTGAAGAGTTAAAGAAACAACATGGTGATAACGTAAGGTTTGCTATGAAGGACGGAAAACTACTTGCACTTCCTCCTACGTATAAAGAATATATGGATAACATAGAAAATGGAATATATGCTGGGTTAATACACTTCAAATTAGTAGCAGAAAAATATAACACAGATATAGAAGTAGTGGATCCTGAAAACAACTATCAACCTCATACAGATGCACCAAATGGTGGAACAATTAATCCTACTAAAAATGTAGATGGCAAGTCCATGATAGTAGCTTATATACTATCTAAAGAGAAAGGTAAAGTTGGCCACTTTGCACCAGTAATAGAAGTTGATGGAAAACTTCAAGTAATAGATATATCACAAAATTTAGGTACAAAGGATCAATGTTTTGCACAAACTATGTTATTTTATGAAAAATATAAGGAGGGAAAACTAAGTAGGACTGATATCAATAGTATACAAAACTATGGTATAAGCAGCACAGATATCGGTAGATTTAAGATAGATTTAGCTCAGTTTGGAAGAGGTAGCAGTTCAGTCCGATACGATTATCACGAAGGTGTTACTGTGAAACATTCGCAACTTTTAGGAGGGGCAAGGCAAGAACAGAGACCTTTCGAAGAGCGTGTACACAGTAATCCCGCAGCAGGTAGGTACGGTCATCTAGACAGGCGATGGCGAGGACGAAAGGGAATCTACGAAATTAATCATATTCCTCCAAAAGCTTCCTACAGAGATACACCTTACCGAGATATAAGCATAAATCATATGCCAGCAATTGCCATGTTTATCGAAGATCATAGAGGGATGTCTTCAACAGGCAGTTCGGATTTAGCGTTTAGTCATCGCAGTACTGTCCAAGAATGCTTACGAAGAGGAGATATGTACAGCGCTATGAAACTAGAGTTAAGTCACACATTAACTATTAATCCTACAAGATCATATGAAAACGCCGTTCTCCAATACATAAATTATGTCGGATCAACTCCTGTGAAAGGTGCTCCACTAAATTTAGATGGTACAAGAAGTCTGCTAACGCGATCACAAGCACTTCAATCACAAGAAGAACTGTTTGGAAGATGAAATCCTAGCAAAAAATATTAGCAAATTTTTCATTTTCAACAAACATCTAAAACAAGTTTTTCATCTGATTGCGCATATCAACGGTGTCATAAACAATAAGAACAGTTGATCTTCAATTCGGCTGAATTTGAAAATCGCTGTTTTAGTAACTTGTTCGATAGAATCCATATCATTTTCTCTCTTCAACAGTGTATCACCTTCGATTTATAGAACAAATTTAACGAGCTCTTTCAAATCTGTTCAGTCAGTGAATTGATCATGTTGTAACGTTTATTTCTACTTGACAAAACCATTATAATTATTGTATCTTTTGAATGACCCTCACCCTCAAGAGTCCGTGTATTCTGTACCACAGTAAAACTGATCCGGTGCAAGACATGTGCAGAAAAATTCCAAGTTACCACCTAGATTAAAGTGCTGTAAACTTGATTCTTTGATCAAAAGAACAAAAGAAACTCAATCTTGACGTCACTGCTTAATTTGCATCCAAATATATTCTTTTACAGTTGTGAAATGCTACAAGGTACATCAAAGCTGATCCGATATCCTATGAATAACCATATTCAGTATCTGTTAATTCACAATGATGAAGTTTTTAAACAACATTATCATCCGTGTTTTTTTTGTCTGTAGCATGCTTCAGCCACATCATATGTGTTTCCATATTTTTCTTATAACTCCGCAATCGTATTTTCGAGAGCTTACATCTGATCTGGTGACACAACTGACCAATATCGCCTAAAAAAATCGCTCTTTTCGCTTTGGTATACTCGTATCAATGCTCCAATTCACGTCGTGTTAGTACACGGTCTGTTGTTATTCATATGTATGTCATTATGTATTTGACAGAAGTTAATTAAGAAGAGAGCCAAAGTACCATGAATTAGATTTTGGGCTTGTCCAAGTTTCATCATAAAATGGTATTGACTCTGTTGTATTTGGCCAAATAATCTCAAAAATAGACATCATCAACAAAGTATAAAGATCTATACATCAATCAGTAAAAGTTTACTGATGAAACAAATATGGAAAACTATTCATATCTTTATATTGATGGTAAATTTAGCACGTCATCATTTAGGTTTCAGCGTTACTTAAAGATTACCATTAGATGATTTGAGATGTTTTTCATACAAAATTTATCGGATGTTATGAGTAAGAACTTAGTAAATCAAATCATCTTCCAACAATTAGTAAGCTGAAACAATTGATTCAAAAAATATACTTCGAAATACCAAAGAAAATATTTCAAGATTTATAGCTGTATCAGTGTCGCGACGTCTTAAAACTTTCATTCGTGTAAAAGAAGGCACATCTTCGAAGTACTTGTTGGTAACGAGGCGCATATACATGTGTATGTTTGTTTATTTTGCATTCTTCTCCGTGTGTTGTCTTCCTTGTTTGTCGTTGCTTTTCCTCTTGTACTTGTCACACGTTCTTTCGGATCGCTGACTTCAATGTTTACCTATAGTAAATGCGTAATAAAAATTTATTAAGTAGTTTCGACTATTGTGTCTATGTTTGCTATATATAGTTAGCCCTTCTTTGTTACTGTATTTTTTTTTTTCTATTTGTCTGTTGTTTTTTGCGTGTTACTCTAATTAATAAAACTTTACCTGATATTTATTTCAAAAATATATACAATACTATAGATGTTTTTCTCGGTTATGGTAACGGATCTTTTGCAAATCCAATCCTAATTTTAACTGAATTTTTGCCAACTTCCGTAGCTGTTGGTGATCTTAATAATGATGTTTATTTAGATATTGCTGTTGCTAATTCATACAGCAATAGCATCAGTGTTTTCTTACGATATGGAAATGGATCTTCTACAGATCAATTGATACGTCGGCTTAAACGCGTAACGTATCACTTTCTGAGTCCAGAGTTTGAATTCATTACTCAAAGAGCTCGCTATTACTATTAAAAAATTAGAATTAAAAAATTTACTTTTTTATGTCATATACTGTGATTGCCGATTTATCGGCGTAGTTTGTTCTTTACAGAGTCCTTCAAGACTAATCACGTGTACAAAAACAGAAGTATTTTTTGACACAATGAGTGACTTTTTGGTATCTTTCAGACTGGGCGTATGTTGAAATGCTGAAATGCAAAGATGATGGCAATCTTGTGAGTGAAATATGTTACCCTGAAGTAGCTTTTTTCTAATTGCGGCTTTTTGGGATGTATATATACAGGGGCGCCCCGATAAGGGGAGGGATACCCCCTGCTTTTTGAAAAAATTTACTCCGAAATCAGGATTTTCTTACTCCGAAAATTATGCCTTTGACTTACGAGAATGTCCTACGGAGTAAAGCGTTTACTTGTACTTTCAGAGTAAGACAATTATTCTCATTTTTAGAGTAAGACGTCTACTCTCAGTTTTGGAGTAAGACATTTATTCCCATTTTGAGAGCAAAAGGCCTACTCTCATTTTCGTAGTTAGGAATTTACTCTCATTTCAAAAGTAAGATATTTACTGCTATTTTCGGAGTAAGAGATACAGTTCCATTTTTAGAGTATAGTATTTGTTTTTTCTCTTTCTGTGTTTGATAGAGAATAAAATTTCTGTCATGTACATAAATAAGATAAGATAAGTAGAATAGACTGTATCACGGCTTCAGTAAATGTATTATTATATAAGGCCAACAACGTCAAAACAAAGAAAAGGAAGCCGAAAACACCTTTGTTCTTGTTTTGTATTCATTTTCTTTTAATTTAATTGTACTGTGATTCTGCTTGGAAGATTTAAACCTAAGCTACAATATGTCAAGTAATCAAATTGGACATTGTCCTTTATGTTTTACTCAAGCAATGTTCAGCAAAATGAAGATAATAAAAAATAGACTTAGAACACAAATGAAAGATGATCGATTAGAGCAACTATTATTATGTTCAATAGAAACAGAATTTACTGATCAGTTAAATATACAACTTTTAGTGCAAAAATGGAGAGATATGAAACCAGGACGACACATTTTACTTTAATTTGCTTTGTGCTGAAGTATATAGAGTTAGACAGAAGGAAAGTCAGTCTTGCTTTAGAAGAAAACTGCTTAGAATATTTATCTTTGTTTTTTATTCTTACTCTGTTTCAGTTTTTAAAAGCATAAAAATTTACTCCGAAATTGACTTTGCCCTCCCCCTGCCTCCGAGGTATCGGGGCGCCCCTGTATATATAGCTCTGTCTAATGTATAGGTGACAAAAAACTGGCTAGTATGAACGCGTTTCGAATATTCTTCTTCAACAGACTAGCGAAAAATTGATAACGAAAAAAGTGGCACTGTATGGTGAAAATGTAGTGGTATATATAGGCTTCCCTATTCTCATTTTTCTCAGCTGATGCAATATATCAAAATTCTACTAGAAAATAGAATAATTCTCTCTGTTTGAGTTTTCTCGAATTTTTTGACTGAATTATTGTTTTTTTTCTGATTGCATCATTCTTCAATGATTCCTGATTCTTGGCTTTTCTGATTGCAGTATTTTTCAGAAGTTCCTGCTTCCTGATTCTTGATTTTTTCTAATTGCAGCTTTTTGGGATGTATATATAGCTCTGATTTTCTTCGTTTCAGTCATTACATATTTTCGATGTGCTTGAAGAAGACGTTCCTCTCACTTCCCAGACCATGCTGTACTGTAAGACGTGAAGTAAGGGATTGAGATACGTTTTTCAAAAACGTTAACTTTGGGTATGTAGTCATTTTAGAGTCTCCTGAAACGTTGTAAGACGTGGAATAAGGGATTGGGATTTATCTCACTTCCCGGACTACGCCATGTTTCCCAGACCTCGTAGGACATATTGTAATTTGAAACTTTGCGGGTATTGTTGTACCCGCAAAACCCTCACGCTCAACAATGGTCATCATGAACAACCACCACAGGAAATCCCAATCGGACAAGCACAGACTTCTCCTATTTTGCGCCCTATTCACATCATTCACATCGTTTTGCGGGTATTGTTGTACCCGCAAAACCCTCACGCTCAACAATGGTCATCATGCTAGTAGTACTCCACCGCCTGCTTTGTGTGGTCGATCGTGTCTGTAGAGGGTGTAGCCTGGGAAGGAGAGGTGCGTTGATGAAGAAGGGAGTCGGGTTTCATTCAGTGCGAAAATATCAACATCG